GCTGAAGGACGGCAAACGCAAGGCTCTTCTCCAGTGGGCCAGGTCAACATTCCAGGAGATTCCCATCGCACTCGACGCAGAGAAGTCCCGCATCCTGAATAAGGCAAAAGACGATGTTAAGGTACTGAGTAGACAAATCAGTGCTACCGCCGTCAAAAGCGAAGGCGAGTACAGGGATTTGAAGCATGAGTGGAAAGCGAGGGAGAATGCCATACTCGATGCAGCCACAGTAGCCCTCGATACCCGTAGGAGAAGCCTCGAGCTTCAGATGCTTAAACAGCTCAAATTGTTGTTAGCTTCGACGGCACGATCGCCGCCCAAGTCTAGCCCACTCGAAACTGAGTAAATTAAGTGTTGGCTATCGGCTTTCCTGAGCTCGAGACGCCACGATAACCCAAGGAAATGCCCGGTATCACATGGCATGGGGAGGACGAAGGATCATTTAATCAATGCGTATCGTACAAGCAAATGCTGCCTTCGGCTGATACGAAAGCTGGCTCTATCACGCTTCGTGATCCGGAACCACACCTTAAGATTGGCAATGCCAATTTGGTGGCGAAATCTCGTAGTCGCAATTTAACAGACATCAACGAACGTTGACGAAGAAAAACTGGTTGAAGTTTAGGCCCGAGATGGGATTTGGGGGATGTCGGAATCTCCGAAGGATGCTTAGCTTTCTGGAATCCTATCTTGTAGATATAGATGGCTCCGAGTACATACGGTCTGAAAAGTCTGCAACTGGGCCTCGCTCTCGACTAGGTATACGTGGCACGAATAATGCGATAAATTGTCGGTTTTCGTTGTTCTCTAGTAACCACAATATATTGCGATTCACACCTCCATCTTCTCAGCCTTTTCGTCTAATTTCCGCATCATTGCTTCCTCTTCATCCATCTCGTTCACCCCAATGCTGTTCCCATTCTTTATTTCCAGCCCACGTCTCGCCATCTCCGCATCGACGTTTTTCCTTGTGATCATGCCATTCTTAGTGAACCCGTCAAAGTCCTCCTGAAGCTTCCGCACTATGCCCTCCACGCTGCGCATGCCCACGACCAGGAACCCCAGCTCCTCGCGGTCCACATCGAACACCTCCCACCACGGACACTCGGGCATCCTGGCGGCGATCTCGGCGTCCCGCGCGGCGCTGTAGATGGCGGCGACGGCCAGCGCGTTGGGCTGGTGCGTCAGGTAGAGCATCTGCGGGGAGAAGAGGGCGGTGTTGAGATAGGCGACGACGCGGCGCGTGATCTTGGCCCGCGAGGCGTCGCCGCAGAAATCGAGCGCTTGTAGGTACGTCACGGCCAGGCCGTGCGGCAGCGCCACGTGTGTGTCGAAGCTGAGTGTGTAGAGGATGCGGGCTTCGAGGCGCAGGATGCGCGTCTGGAAGGCGATGTACGCGCTTTCTGGGAGGTAGTAGCTTGATGGGTCCGGTTCGGGAGGCGGCGAGGAGAGGGGCGGCGCGCGGAAGAGCGGCGATGCGCTTGAGAGCAGATATGCGTAGACGTTGCAGACGTCGCGCGGTCGACAGGGGTGCGCGCCTAGCTTGGCTACGAGGAATAGCGAGGCGGCTGAGACGTCCTGGAATCGCGGAAACACAGTTAGTCTATGAATTATCGTTCCTTCAACTTTGGTCTCTTCCTCCATGCTGTCTTGGAGCGAAAGGATAAGGGGTCGGAGCACTTGCGCTGAACTCGTTGGCGAGAAGCGGCTCTTCGAGCCAGTATCGCGCTAGCACGACGCTTGCTTGCGCCGTCACTGACTGTGGAAGCCGGAGGAGGAGACCTGCTGCCTGCGTCAGGGTCTGCGTCGCGAAGAATATCGCGTCTTGAAGATCGGATGGCAGCGCGCTGAACGAGGCCGTGCGCCGGTAGAGCTGGTCTACTGTCGCAAGAGGGTTCGTCATGTGCGCCATTGTGGGAATTGGCGCTTGATCAGGCACGCAGTCAAATGACCTTCCTGTTATTTTTTTGAGGTCTCAAGAATGGATGGGACAAAGGACGAGTAAATATCGAATTAGCTATCTATACTTGTCTTCGACCATGAGCTCAATGATTTCAGTTCTCCTCAATCAAGGTAGGTAACAGGATCAAGCTATCTTTAGTTAGCTGATAAGATAGGGCTGCACTAACTAGTGCACGCTAACTATCTACCAGACCTATTTCTGTCTAGGTTATGTGGGGAGGTCCCTTATAAATGACGTCGAAAACCTCAATTGGCAAGTAAGGTATGCGCATGTGTATGAGGAATCGCAGACTTTATTCAAACAGCTCGTACAGGTCAAGCTATTGAAACAAAGCGCAGGCTGAATACAGTAGCGTCAGATCTCGAGATCCCGACCTCGAGACTTCCGTCGGCGCTCTTTATGCTTGCCGGTATCATTTCTCCTGTCCTCTTAACTACGATCCGTGGCCCCGTAGACGAATTTGGTGAGGGCTCAGGTAGCTTATAGAAACGTCTTCCGAACAGACTCAGGAAACCCTCGATGTTCTCTTGTGTGACATCTTTTTCGTCGATAATACCCTTTTCAGTTGCTTCTTCTAGCGCCAAGAGGACAAGCTGTGTCGCATACGGCTGCGTGAATACACCCGCTGGAACAGGTTTGCCTTGCTTGGTTACTAAGGGATGGGGCGCACTATCACTTCCACTAAGAGACCATCCAGATTAGTTTAAAAAAGCGATATCGGCGTTAATATTGAGTGTTACTGACAAGAAGAACTTGGGGTCGCCACTGCAAATAGCCTTAAGAAGAGCATCTCGGTCTGAGGGTGTCTTTGGGATGGGTTTGCAAAAAGCATGAGGGTCTACCTCGCTTATATCACCCGTTAAGTATAGGTGATGCGCGGTTATTGTGCCTGAAAAATCATATATATTAGAGGACGGGCTATAGGAATAAGAGGGAACACTAAGTTTGGATCGAGCTTACCAGCGACTGTTGAAGTGCAGGACCGCACTGCGTCCACAGCTGCTGCAGTAGAGCAATGCTAGAAACCCAAAATTAGAATAGTATCGAGAAACCGTCTAGACCTAATGCTCACCTCAAGCACAATACGAAGTTTTGGGAACTTCTCATTCAACCTCTTCAAAGTAGGCAGGAATAGCTCTTCAAGCGAGATATCATCCTTTGGCACCGTTCCGGGCACCTCTCCATGTAAGTTGAGCACAATATCGTGCTCCTCCATAGCCGCAAAAGTGGGCGCATAGGTCTCAACAAAGTCGCCAGCGACTCCCGATTCCGAGTTGGTAGTGACCCCTATCTGGATATCAACATGATGAGCCCTAGAGGATAATGAGATATCTACCTTGGGGGTACAGCTTAACCCCCGCAATACCAGCCTTTGCAGCCTCGGCAATTACGTCAGGGGTAACTGAAGGATGGAGCTGGTCATTGTGAGCTAACAATGTCTTTCCAGAGATTCCATGGGCGGCGCACGTAGAGGGACATCAAATAATTAACTTCGGGGTCGATGGCTTGCAGACAAGCCTTGTATTCCAGAGCAGCTGCTACACTTGTGACGGGGGGTTGCAGGTTTGGCTATCATTGGAATTAGCTCCATATTATGCACATCGAAAGCCTTAGTCTTTCCATACCATGACGAAAACAGTGTCAACTCCTCCTCTCCGAATGGAGGGCACCACTAAGTCCATAACCTATAATATGTCAGTTCATATTAGTCCAATTCGTTCAGACAGACAGACCTGGCCCTGTCGCAAGTGGACATGCATGTCTGCCGTCGGCGGCAGTTCTAGCCGGTGTACATCCTTGAGTCTCATTTTGGTATGACGGTAAACCAAGAGAAAGTTTCCAGACAAATTAAAAAGTTTATTGTCACCTATTAAGAGCTGATCGCGTTTTGAGCTTTCATCGAGGTATAGATGCTCAGGTCTTTACCCCACTATCAATGTAGGGGCTAGTTACCTAGGGGCGGCAAGGTTTGCAGCTTGGCACGTGATTCCCAGTCTGAGCCCCTGACGCCGCCCACCTACCCGGAACTAGCCCTGCAAATATCCAAGGCGAGTCAACGACGAAGCAAATAGCAGATATTCATATTTTAGCTCTCAACCAAATTTATATTCAAGCTTCGGCTAATACCATAATGGGAACACGCGAGTAGTATAACCGCTTTTTAGGACCTAGTGACTATACTAGAAAAATGCTTAGCATCAAGTGAGTCATTCTAGTAAAAGTGCTACTGTTCCATACACCCAATTTACTTTATCTGTCAAGCATAAAAACACCGAAAAGAAAAGAGAAGGGGGGGTTATATACTATCAAGTACAACGTAGGGTCATGAATTAACATTGCACTAACGTCCGCGGGTCGTTTGTTTTGTAGGTAGTATCTTGATACCAACTGAATCTTTAGCATCCTTGAACACGCCAGTTATGTATAGGTTTAGCCTTAAGGTAAATATCACGCAATGTGTGCGGAAGCTAGACGGTAGTTCGTTGTACTATATAGGTTCAATGAAAAGGTTCATACAGTCATGGCTTTGGTACCAACCAGTAAGCGTATAGCCTAGTCAAACGGCATAAATATAAAATCTAGTATCATTAAACTAGATTTCGTGAAGGGAATGCAATAATAGAAACTAGGGTAATACTGTATAATATGTGTAGATGGGGTTCGCTTGTCTCCGACATGCACTTTAGGTAGCCGCGCGAAATGAAACTGTGTTTCACCATATAATATAATAGCATGGATAGGAGTGCCAAGTTTCTATTCCTGATGTTTGGGATATTCTGTAGCGATTTATGATGAAGTATCCGGGGTTCTCAAAGTCTCATAGGAATTTGCCCATATCTATTATCTTACAGGTCCAATAATCATCACATCCGATAATCGGACCTACATGCATATCGCCTATCCATTATCATGCAATGCTGCTTGCTACCACCCACCCTACTTAATCGAGGTGATTGTAACATCAATCGAAATTGACAGACGGGATAGAATGAAGTGCGAGAAAAAAAAATCGAGCAAAAAGCAAAAGTTGATCGTGCTCTCGATCGGGGAATCGAACCCCGGCCACCTGCGAATTGTATGATCAGAGACCATCGATGACAAGCAGGTATCCTTACCACTAGACCAATCGAGACTGTGAAGCTGTGCACGACGACGATCAAATCGAAGTCCTTGACTGAGACCCTCAAAGGGGCCGGAACAAAAGATGATGCAAGAAACAGCTGTACTTGTCGAAATTCAGTGGACAGCGAATTGTTTTAACAATCAGGAAGAAACGTCACTAATGCATTGTTTGTCGTACGTGCTTTGAAACGAACTGCTTGTCTCTTCTGTGCTGAAACAAAGACCCTTGTTATTGGGTTAGAGGATCAAAGCCTAGAAGGAATTAATATATAGATAGCAGACGACGACATAGCCCACAAATGCTGGAAATTTACAGGTTAATTACTGAAAGCAAGGCGAATGGAAAATTTAGAGCAGGTCTCTAAACTCAACATTAGTGCAACATTCGACGATTAGTACGAAAGGATACTCAACACAACCGGAAAGGTAGGCTTTATTAATCACTACACAAGTCAAGATGTGCACAGGCTCTCAGCACTCCCAGGCGGAAACTGCGGAAAAATACAGGACTCGCCATACAGAGCTCCTCGCACAGCTAAAGCATCAGGACAATGTACGTGAAGTCCAAGAGCTTACTGAGAGGTCGCGAAATCTGAATCTAAGCATGTGTCGAGGCGTAGCTGAGGCGCGGCAGATTGCAACAGGCCATGGTAATATCATTAGAGATTCTAACATCCGCGGGAGCCGAGACGAGTGCTACACAGTCGAAGACATTTGCAAGCTCAGCGGGAGAAACTCAGGTTGGATAGCTCCACATGACGATTCCGATGATGGACACGACAAGAGTTACCTCACGGCCGACGGGAAGCACGTCATTGAGAAGGAGTATAAATTAATCGACGGCCACTGGGCTCTGATCCCGTATCGTAAGGAATTGCATGAAGTTGATCCTCATCTTCTTGCCGCGCTACAAGAAGAACGCGAAAGGGAGCTCGCGAGACAATGGCGAAGAAAAGAGAAGAAAAGGGCGAAAGAGGCTGGGCAGAAGTATACTGACAATCACCAAGAGAGCCTGAATATCTACGAGACAAAGCCGCACCGGACTCCAGGGCTTCTAGAGAGATTTTCCGGACTCGAGCCGGCAAGCAGCGTTATTGACGGGTCGCAAAATATTCCTATTGTCGAAGAAAAACGTATGAAACCCCGTGTCAAGAGATGGGCGCCACCGCCCCGATACGAAACCCCGACGCCGCCGCCGCCAGGTGACGAATCGTACGACGATGAAGATTACCAGGAACTAATAGATATGCTTCGTAAAGCAGAGATTGAGGAAGAATTCCAGAGACGGACAAAGACGAGTCCTTCACCAACTTCATTTAGAGCGAGAGCGAAGCAAAATGGTTTTAATCCAACCGAGCAACGGGGCTACGGTTCGGAATACGACTCTGCATATCAGCAACCCCCAAAAGCCGAGAGTTCTACCGCACCAACACGCCGGGTTAAAAGGGAAAGTAGGACACGCACTCGAGTAGAAAAGTTTACGGAGGACATAGAATACGAGTACGCCGACGACGAAGCTGACAGCCGTGTTGCAGGACACAAGGCCCCTGTTCATGGGCCAAAGCGAACGAGTAAGTCTACAAGTTACGGTAAGACCCGGAGCAACAGTTATGAATTCGACGATGATGAAAGTGATCTTGACGTGTGGCTAAAGATCGCCGATGAGGATGACAGAGGTAGGAGGCCAATAGGTAGACTTAACTTTGGGTCTCTTGGTCGCTCTAACAAGCGTTGAGAGGTAAGATAAAGTACGCGGGAAACACAAGTTTCCTTCCTTTTCCGAATTTAGATGTTAATAAATTTGTATTCATCGTTTTATAGTCTCCATAAGCTTCTTGAAGTTTTTTGTAAGCCTTTTAATCTTTTCTACTGTGTGAATCCTTGTGGAAGCTCAACCTGTCCCAACCTCCACGCGATATCCGCTGAGTCCACTGTAGCTTCTTGGCCATTGGCCTCACTTTTATCAGCTCTAGAATCCCGAATTTCTTTCTTCGCCTTGTTATACTCCTTGACTCGCGCAGTGGCTAATCTTCCCGGTCTTCGGCGGTCTGTTGGGCACCGTAGAAGTGGTACCTGGATAATGGCAGCAAAGACATCGAATACCTTACTTATCGGCACGTTATGCCTTTTGGCTACTTCTTCAAATGGGAATTTCTCCTGGCATGTCTCGGATACGTCGACTATTAAGTTGGGCGAGTGTTTGCGATATGTGGGCTGAATGAGAGAGTTTGACGGCTTTATGGAACTTGGGGTCGCTATAGTACTGGCGGCCGCTGTCTTTGGCTGGCTTGCCTTTGGAGATTCCATTTTTCCGGCCCGTTCGGAGGTGGGCTGTTTGCTTTTCTCAACTTCATCTTGCTGTTGAGGCGGCACCATTTGGGACAGAGGCTGAGGTTGTCGGTGGGATGGTAGAGGTATGAGAGGACTGCCGTTCATTGGCATCATTACTGGTGCGAAATTCGCCCCAAACTGCTGGACATGACCAGTAGGCATGGCTACTATATGAGGATGCACGTGTTGGCCATAAGACGGATGGCAGTGTAGCTGTGGTGTAAAGTGAGAAGGGAGAGCAGCCTTGACCATTGATAAACCCTGTGTGCTTGGAAATTGAGCTTGATGTCTCAGCCGGGAACAAACCTGACATGGCTGTTTTTGAATTGAACTATTATGGTGATGATAGTTTTCCGATGACCTTGGGCTTCTGCCTAAGCGAGGTGCATGATAGGAAGACTCAGGACAAGGTGAAGGACGAAGAAGAGGTATTAACGTGTTCTTCGAACCAGCTATTTCGCCACGACTGGGAGGAATATGACTGGCTGGATCAACGGGTGTCTCGGGGGCTTTGGCTCGATTGGTATCGAGCGCCGAGTCGATCGGGTCTGGTGCTAGGACTGGCTTCTCGGCTTGACGGGTCGTATGGCTCGGGCTTGGGTGGTTTGCCGAGGGACTTGAGAACTTGGCGGGACTGTGGGCTGTAGGCGAATATTGGATGCCCTGGACGTTGAGTGTTGGTGGAGAGATTGTTGATGGGAGCTGCTTCGGTGAGAGTTCAGGGGGGCTTGGCGGTCGAGGCTTGCGGAAAGGCTGGTCCAACACAAAGTTCTCTAGCACCGGCATAGACACGCCTCTCAAGGCATAAGTGAGTTCCATTGCGTGAATGTCAGATGGTAGGCCAACCATTCCTGTACTCAGTCGTCTTTCTGTATCCCTCAAGTCATTGCTCGGTGTTTCCAATGTTGTCGTTGCCGGAAGATTTGGAAACACAGCAGAAGTAGTCGTAGTAGCAACAGCAGCAGCAAAAGGGATCATTGGTTGCTGAGATATAGGTGGCACGGACTGCTTCTCATTGATCCTGGGTCTCTTCACAGGCTTCTCGGAGATAAACTGAATATCATCGTCTTCTTCACCAGCTCGTTTCTTGGATGTAGTCACAGCACTAGTGGGCGGACGCTGGAGGGTCTCGTGTGATAGCAAGCTCTGGAGAGGGAAATGTGTTGGCATCATCCTGCTGGATCGCGCAGAGGCAATGGATATGCAAAAGTCGAAGTGATGGGTTGGACACAGGCAGCATTTTTAAACCCTGGTAGACAGAAAAAGTGCCTAGACTATTTGTACTCGCAGATGATGCTTCTATGAAAAGCCTGGGAGCCAAAAGACAACTCGATGTTCACCTCTGTGTAGTGAAGCTGCGATTCTTTCACATATATGCAGGCCTTTCTGGCACTTAAAAGCTGGAGCAAAGGGAAGCTCTCCTGACGAAATCAAGGAGGCTTTGCTATTCGCAGTGCATAAGGGCAACGTGAATCGTGTACAGGGAGGACCTGACACTGATGCACAGGCTGGCACACCATTGCAGGTGTTCTTGTTCTATAATGAACTTGCCTAAGGACATAAGATCGACTGTGACTAGATATTTGTCGGCTCATCAAGAGTACTATAGAATGGAACTAGATGAAAATAAAACTTAAAGTGCTGCCCAAGGAGCCGCAGCGGCATGGCATGGATAGCCGCCTACCTGCCCGTGTTCAACAGAGCATAGCAATGATAGAAATATGGTAGTAGTGGGTGACACACAGGATGAGATGACATCAGTAATAAAGGGTGTTAAGTGTGAAGTCTAAAAAGTTACAAGCATACTGCGGGCACAAGATAAGCTTAATAGATCAGACTAAGTGTCCTAGCCCACCTACTAAAGTAGCTAGCTATGTAGCTACGGCATTACACTAATATTACTAGCCTGGAGGTAAGTAATGGGGTACGTAGGTACCTACCTGCCTATTAAGTTACCTAAGATACTACCTGTGTCGCAGCGGGGCATTGCCCCACCAACACTGATAGCTCCAATAACTATCTACAGCCCTACCTTGTCCATAAACCAGGCCATCCCTCAAGTATACATCATCTTACGAGTCTAGAACAAACAGCGCCTGGGTACAGCTTCACAAGTTCTCTACCTTCAGCTGTATCTTGCCCGACCTTCGTATCGGTTATTCACAAGTATGGAGACAGCTACAGCGAACCCGCTCCTGTCAACACAGAAGTCCTCCGACTCCGGTCTGCAGGCGGTTCTGCATCCTCTGGTCCTCCTCACCATCTCTGATTACATCACGCGCCACACCCTCAGAAACCAGCCCGGTCCTGTTATCGGTGCGTTGATAGGGCAGCAGAATGGCCGCGAGGTCACGATAGAGCATGCTTTTGAGTGTGCCACGCTCATCAAGGATGACGAGGTCATAATAGACGCTGAGTGGTTTGAGCAGCGGTTAGGCCAGAGTATGTCTCGTTTGGAGAATCCTATGTGGAAATATTGCTAATGACAGGACCCAAGTGAAACAAATACATAGTTCTCCCCAGCTTGACCTTGTTGGTTGGTACACCCTTCTTCCTAGGAGCGGCCCGACGCCGTTTATCCTCTCCATTCACAACTGGATTCTCTCTACGCACAACGAGTCTTCCCTGCTACTTGGATTTCACCCAGAAGAGTCCACTAAGCACGACGCGGGTAGCAGG